GGGCCTGTGAAATTCACATGATGGAGGATACACAAACAAAGGTCCTCAATATTCCATGAACACTTTAACCATTAGTTCAGATTAGAACATAGATTAACTTTAAACTGTTTAACCCATCCTTAACAGGCCTTACATGCTGGTAGAGTTTCTGGTTCCTCTAAATCAACTCGCTCTAAAACGCTGTAAAATCTCACCATGTTCTTGTCTGGGTTTGGTTTTCTCTTCTTCACTCTGCTGTATTTGGACATGGCTGTACGTGACTTCATCCCCCTCTCCTCCTCCTCCTCCTCCTACGGTAGCTGAAAATGAACAAAGGAATCAGTTTCAGGACTATCTGAAAACTCTCTGAAGATAAAATGGCTGAGAAGTTAGTCTCACCTTCAGGTTTGTTGTGAGCACGTTGTCTCACCAGTACGACCAGCACCACCAGGAAAACCAAAACACAGACACAGGCAGTAGGAACCAATACTGGGAAGAGAACGGTGGAAGAAACCAGAGCAGTTGAGTTTGTGGTGACAGAGATTGTGGTGGTTGTCCCTAGAAACAAGATGGGAACTAAATAAATGACCGACTGTTGATGCCAACACCCATAGATGAAGGATTGGGTTAAACTCCTCACCTGTGAGAATGGTTGTGATGGATGGAGAGGTGGTTGAAGGCTTCTCTGTGATAAAGAAAAAGGAAGATAATGGAATCAGGTGTATAAACTTTTATTGGATGTTCAGATATTATCTGCGTTTAGTGAAGCTGCTGACCTTTAACAGAGATCCAGCTGGATGGAGACTCTTTACCACTGATTTTACACCTGTAGAGGCCTTCATCAGAGCGGTTCACATGGTGGAGGGTCATGTTACCTTTGGGCTCAGTGCTGATGAGGGAGCCATCTTTATAGAAAGCAGCTGGGAGGTTGGAGGGAGTGTTCTTTGTTAGACAGCTCAGAGTGACGTCATCTCCCTCCATCACAGGGAGGACAGGACTCTGCAGGATCACTGATCCACCTCAACACAGAGACAAACTACAGCATTTCATCCATTTCCTCCATCAAACATCTGTTTATTCAATCAGCAGTGATTACTTCATCAATCAGTAAAACAGAACCAACATGGTGACATTTAAAAATACTGTTTGTTTGCTTTAAGGACAAACATTTTTAAGCTGAATGTTCATTTGAGCTTTTTATGCACTAAAACACAAACAGGTTTACCGATAGGACTAATTTATGTTTAACATGTTTATGACGTTTACTAGAAGTCAAATACTTATAAGCAACTTTCAATAGAAATTATGATTCTTGAAACACCTGAAAATGATCCATTCCAACTTATTAAATCTTATTGGTTACACATTAGACACATAATAAAAGATGAACATTTAACAACAATCATCTTAAGAAAACTTTAAAAGCTTTAACACTTATAAAAATTTTCTTTCATCTCTTTCCTTGAACTGGATAAAAATGTATGTGTCTGATCTTACCAGTGATGGTGAGGTTAACGCTGTTGCTGGCTGCTTCTTCTCTGGAGGATGAACACCAGTAAACTCCACTTTCCAATGGATCGGCATAAGTGATGTTACAGGTAGAACCAGCTGATATCCCCCATCCATATCCACACTGAGTCCTGTTTCCTGTGGTTGTTTTCCCCCATACAGTCCAGTTAGCAGAGCTGTTGTTCTCCTCACAGCTCAGAGACACATATTCTCCTTTAAAGAACTGAGATCTGCTGGGACTCACAGTCAGACCAGCTGGGAGGAGAATAAGGACATTTAGCTAAACAATTGCTCACAATCTGTGATAAACAGTCAGATAACTAATCAACATTATGACCTCCCAGCAGTTTGAGCTGGGAGAAAGAACAATGTTTTTTTTTTTTTATCTGAGAAACTGTGAGCCTGAATGTTTACTCACCCTGACTCGCTCTGCAGCACAGAACTAATATTCCCACTGCAGAATAAAGTTAAAGTTCTTATGGTTATCTCTATGGAACAGTCTGTGGAAGGAGGATAAATTGGAAAATGTAAAACAGACGAATGTAACTTACAGAGCTGCCACAGTGGAGCTGCTTCCTCCATCCTGCTGCTGCTGATCTGAGATCAGCTCTGACCGATATGTAGTAAATGAAGCCTCGCCGCTTCCTGCTTCACAGAGCTTTACTTCCCTGTTCATCTTAGTTAGGACATATTTCACTGACAACATGATGAACATGCCTGTGCTACAAATTTAACACTTGCACCATGGCTTTAATGTGTCTAACCTGATAAGGATGAGTTATTTAAGCTTTTGCCTTATTCAAGGATAAGGAAGACATCATCAAAAAATATCAAACATCATTGAAGAAAAAAAACACAAAATATCAGAAGATGTACTTCTCTATGTTTTACATTCAACTGTACATCGTAATGGCAACAACTTAGACGTTACAAAAGCTTCAATATATCATACAGCTGTTTATAAATGCATGAGGATAAATGGTGCAAATGTGCACAAAAGCATCTGTGCATGTGCTGGTAGAAGATTATAAAGAAAAAATAAAAACAATAAGGGCTTTTTTCCAAGCTAAAATAATGAGTACACTGCAAAAACATCTAAAAATGAGAAAAAATGTCTTAAATTAAGTGTATTTACCATTAATTTGAGTAGGTGAATAAGATATTTGCAAATGTAATGAGTATTCTTAGTCTTAAAATAAGATAATTAGATAATATTTACTTGAAATAAGACAATGCAATTGTGTTTTCTTATTTTAAATGTAAATTGTCTTGTTCCATCGGCAAAGTGTCTCAATTACCTCCTCAATTCAAGAAAAAATGCACTTATTGCAAGAAAAAATGACTTATTTAGATTTCAATTTCTTGCAGTGTAGATAACATAGCTTGGACTTTGCTAAAAGCCTGATGTGTAGATTTTAGATGGGAGAAGAACTGCCCTTCAACACAGGCCGGAAGGAGCTGATAAAGATCATAGAAGATGCACAAGCATCTATCACAACAAACCCATGTGGAGACAGAAGGACCCTCAGAGAGCACAGCCCAGCTAAGATCCATCCTTCTCTGATGCACATTTTGACCTTCCAAGAAGCAGGAAGTCTGAATATCCTCCACCATTAGCAGCATTATCCTCTAGCTCTTCATGTTTGAGGTGAGCTCCACATCATTCAGTTCAATTAGTTTTCATTCAAAAATATTCAATTGATCCAAAAGAGCAATTAATTAATGTAATAACCCATCTTCTATTTTCCATCGAGTTGTTGTAGGTGTTGATAGCTGTAGGTAAGAAGGATCTTCTGTAGAGGTCTATCTTGCACCGGATCTGGAGAAGCCTCTGACTAAAGACTCTCTGTTGTTGTTTAACAGTTTGATGAAGAGGTTGTTCTTTGTTTTCTATAATGTTTTTCACTTTATGACAAATTTCTCTCAGTGAAATCATTTCCAGAGGTTCTAGAGGAGTTCCTAGAACAGAACCGACCTGCTTTATTTGCTTGTCGAGCTTGCTACTGCAGCAGATGATGGAGGAATAGATCCCAGACTTATAGAAGATATGTAGCATATTGATGCAAACTAGAGGTGGGTGGAAAGATCTAAAATATCCATGATATTGATACTAAATTCGGTATCAGGTCAAAACCAGAGCTGTAAAATCAATACTTAACTCAAGCAAATTGCTTGAAGATTTCAGCTGAATGTAGCCTCACCGTCTGTGCAGCAGCAGACCTTTTATCTCTCACGGCCCCTTCCTCCCTGGCTGGAGGAAAGTCATTCAGAACATAGCAAGGCAGATTTGCTCTCTATTTTCTAACCCAACCAGTCTTTCTGATACATGTGCGGGCAGATTAAGTAAGCGCTGAGAACGCAGCTGTGTCTGACATGCAAAGACAAGCAAAGAGCGCATTATTACTCAAGGCAGAAAGAGAAGTTGGTGGCATCTTTGGCATGAGAAGCTTTGTGAAGTGCTGAAACATTAAACCACTTTGCAGCAACTGACTCTTCAGTGCGCTGGCCTTTGATCAATTTCAAATGAACCAGATAGAAAATAAGACAAATCAACCAACTGGAGAATGGATTTTATAAATAAAACTAATTAAAAACCTAAAAAGATTCCTTTCATTCATGATATTGGTGCTGATGACTGGCTTAATTATTAACTCCTTTCACCTGTTTAAGTCTGCCCGGTTTCTCATCACTGGTCCTCTGATCCACCTGCTCCTGCCTCTATTTATGGGGCTTGCATCCATTCATCAGGCCCAGATTATTCTTGTTCTTTCTAGTCAGTGGTGAGATGGTTTCTAGAGTTCCTTAGTGTTTCTTATTACCTGATCCTAACCTGTTCTGCCTCTCAACCACTGAGCCCACCTGTTCCCTTCCGAATGTTTGGCCTGAACTGTCTTTGGACTCCTGGATCTTTGAGCCTGCCTGTTCCTGTTCAGATCTGTTTGCCTGACCGGCTAGATCCAAACTCGTTCTCTGCCTATGGAGTGAAATTGTAAACCAGATTAGTTAATCGGGTGTTCATATCATCCTCCATCAGGTTACCGTGGTCACTAACCTGTGTTTTCCTCTTTCCAGAGTTTCCTGCCTCAGACGCCCTAACCACTGCTACTGCCAATCAACAGCCCGTCGCTTTAAAAAAATGCTTTTTGAATCATCCAACTGTCTGTCTTGCCTGGGTCCTCTGTTCTGAATGGTGATACCTTCATCAGTGTTCATTTGTTGAACAGAAAAGATGCATGTTAATCTTTCACCTGGACAACTTTTCAATAACTGTTCTATCAAATCCAGACAACCTTGGAAGTGCATTTAATTTCAGTTGCCATAGCGTCCCATGGAGATGTCTCGAACTCTGACTCCCCAGTGGTCATCTGCGTTGTGATGACAGTTTTAAGCAGTCACACATTCCCTGATAAGGCATCCTGTTATCATAAATCATCTACAGTGGAGACTGGGTATTTTCTGCATGCAACTCTGAGTGACTGTTCCTGTTCTGGGACTTCAGTTCAGTTTAAAGCTTTACTTTATGTCCTATTGGTCATATTTTGGTTTTATTTTAAAATTCATCAATTTTTTTTTTTTTTACTTACCTGCCTGAACAGCATTCAGTTCATAAGCCGTGCTGCTGATAGGACATAACAATTGGAAAATGTCTCTTCCACTTGACATACATGTACGACAGTATGGCAGCTTCCTTCATAATTGCAGCTGATTTTCTTGTCTGCCTCTCTAAAGGTTGATAACTGTTGCAGCAAAACAGAACCATTTGTGTCATGGCCTGCTATGTTGAAATACTCTGGCGTTGTGAAACAGAGGGTGCTTTATCTTTACCAATGCATTGTTGACGGGTGTTACACCATAGTGCCGTGCAATGGATGGCTCCCATTGGCTGTTATGGAGTCTATTATTGCCCTAGTCCTTTTCTCCACCAATTTTTCATGAACTTGTCTATTCTACTCCTAGCCCTGCTAGTAATGCTGTTTCCCCAGCAGGCAAACACAAAAAGAACAGGGCGGTCCACAACCTACTGATAATAGAGGAAAAGCATATCTATACACACATCAAATGACCTAAGTCATCTGAGGACGTAGATTCTGCTTTGCCCCTTTGTATGCCGCATTTGCCTGCACCGACCAGTCCAACTTATTGTCAAGGTGGACTCCGAGGTACTTATATGAGGAGACCACCTCGATTTACTCATCCTCCATGATGACAGATCTATGTTGAGCTCTTTTTTTGCTAAAGTTCACCATCATCTCCTTTGCTTTTCCAGTGTTTAACCCCAGCCCATTACCTTCGCTCCACTGTAAGAACTCACTGATCACGGTTCTTAATGTTTAATGTTCTCAGTCCCTTTTATAAGTGTGATAGTAGAGGCATGTCAAAGACTTTTATTGGGGATAATAAAGCCTGCATGAAGACTTAGTCCTTCATGGATAAACTGGAGGCTGTAGTCAATTTTTAGCTTTTGAAATTGTCTCGTTTTTTTCTGTCATACATCAGCTGGGATGGATTCTTCATAAACTCATTGCATGGTCTGATATGAGGCTGGCAGCTCCTTCTTGTGTCGTCTTCAACCACCCAGATCCTCCAATCCTCTGTGCCGCTATGGATTGAATACTAGTTAGCCTGAATGAAGGTACTGTTAACAAATGTAGGGTCAGTTGATCATAATCCTGGTATTTTGACAAAGGTACACTGAAAGACTAGCCTGGGTGCCTTTCCGAACTTAGTCCCGCCCACAAGGTATGAGGTCGGGAAGTTCGGTCTGGCATTGCTCCATAGTAGCGCGAGTATTATCGCCCACTCTCTGGCGATCCAATCAAATTGTCAGGGCGGGCTTTATACGATGATGGACAGATGATCAACAGTAACGTAATCAACCACGTGACCAAAGCGCGCTTGGGTGACGACAACAATGGCTGCCGCCGGAGAGTTGAGGTGAGTAGATTCTGCTATTAGGTCTGTTCTAGAAGATATCGACAGCAAATTAATTTTAAAAGAGGAACAGAGAAACGCGATCAAGGCTCATCTTCTTATTCTAGGCGTGCAGCTGCACGCTTTGATTTTTGTTGACAACAACTATGCGTCGCTTAACATACGTCACGCACTCCGTTGCTCTTATTGGTTGTAGGTCTATCCAATTGAGTGCAGAGGCATTTTTTTCCCTGGTTCTTTTGAAACACGCCCCATAATCACAGCTCTATGGAGCAGTATCAGACTCATATTCTGACTAGAATTGAGTAGGACTACGTCAGGCTACTGAAAGACAGGAAATAAGCAATAATCATTAAGAGGTCAATTTCTACGTGTTGGGGACAGAACACAAGTGGTGAACATTGTTCCTTAGAGCCTCACTGATTGTCTACCAATATATGATCATCCAGCTTGGAAATGCTGCAGCTAAGAATTTAACAAGTTTAACAAGAACAAGACTAAAAATCACAAATCTGTTTCTCCATGACTCAATCAGAGGTTTGTCTTGTGCTACATTTTTATTGTTTCCAGAAAGTGTTTTACTTTAATTTAATAGGGCAACAGTGGCGTTGGGTGTAGGAATTTGCCCTGACATTGAAGAGTTCATGGTTCAAGCTCCGACTTTCAGTGTGGTTGTGTCCTTGGGCGAGACACTTCACCTGCATTGTCTACTGATGGTGGTCAGAGGGCCCGGTGGCGCCAGTGTACGGCAGCGTCGTTTCTGTCAGTGAGCCCCAGGGCAGCTGTGGCTACAATATAGCTCACCACCATCATTGTCTGGGTGAATGACTGAATATAGTGTAAAGCGCTTTGGTCAAGTCTCCAGACTTGAAAAAGTGCTACATAAGTACAGGTCTTTTACCGATGTTGTATTTTAGCAGCGTTTAGAGTTGATCATTGACAACAACGATATTTAAGCCTAATATTTAAGTTAAAATACAGAATCTCAAGGTTCACCAGGGTACCGCCGATCCTCAGGCCACAGATTATTTTTTACTATCACTGTCATGTTTGTAGCAAAAATGAATGAGATAAAGCATCCATGCAGCTGTTTTCCTGCATGATAGGAATTAAAATTCATGAAAGAGATAAATATTTAAAATGCACAACTTGTTTGATTTAACTCAGAATATAATTTGTGAAATTAGACGTCATAATCTGAAGAGGTGTGACTGTTATTGTGTATTTGCTCCTCTATGGCGTTTCTCTGTAACTTTAAATTCTGTTGTAATGCAGAATGTATTTTGATGCATCAGGGATCCAGGGAGCTACATATTTGCCTTTTATTACTGATTGGATTCATTTGCTCATTAATTATTTTTTCTCTTCTTTTAGTTGTTATGTTTGAGCACACTTTGTTTTTAAGGTTTATTTTATAAATAAACTATGATTATTGTGTTCTTGTATTACCTCTATGATTTCACTAAATAGGAAAAAAAATTTATGGAGTTTTTAGAAATATAAATACACAGTATATCAGTTTTCTGTAAATGTATCTATAGCTCCCCCTAGTGGTTGGGTAACTGCAGCTTGTGCGCAGACGCGCCTCTCAGGGAGCGATCAGAGGATTTACAGGAAGAACAACAAGCAGCGAAGAAAAGATTACAACTTAAAAGGTTTGATTCTGTTTTTATCTACAGATAAACTTACATTTCCAGAGTCATTATTTATCAGTCATTTCGGATCCGGACCGAAAGTTCAGGAGCAGTTTTACTGATTACTTCACTTCCTTATTGTCGGTTGTTTTAGTTCCTCCCGCTCAAAGCGCGCCTTTCTTTCTGCCGTGTCTTATTTATTTTGTTCCCAAACAGAAGGAGTCCTTCCTCTGCGTGGTCATAGAAGTGATATTTTGCATCTGTCTGGGATCCTTTCAGAGTGGATTATCAGTGAGACAGTGTAGAAGGGATCCCTGGGCCTGCAGTCGGTCCCATCTCCTCCCTCCACACACCGCCCTGCTCCAATGGATGCACTGAACCGGGCTCTCCTCTGTCTTGTTTTGGGATTTATGGAGCTCGCAGCTGCAAGTGAGTAAAGTTTCCTCACAGTTTAAAGTAAACTAAAGAGAAAAGATGTTCTATTTGACGTTGAACAGTGTAAATATTTACTAATTAAACTGTAATACCAGCCTGCATGCAGGTCCAGAGGACAGTCTGTGTTGACAGTAAATCAATAAAAGCTTAAAAAAAAGCTCCATAGTTTGACCTTTACTTACACTGGTGGCCATAGTACTCAACAGTAGTAAACTGCTTTAGGAAAAGTACTGATACTCAGAGTTTAATCTACTTAACTACTAGTAAAAGTAGTCAAATATCTACACAAGTTAAAGTACTGAAGTATTCACCAATGAAAATACCAAAGTAATCATAAGTACAAATTAAATACTCTAACATCTTTACATTTCTGTAAAAATATTTAGAAACCATAGAACCACCTGTTACAGATTCTGCACCACCTGGAAAGAACTAAAGCATAAAAATGCCATAAAAATAAGAATTATGTTGAAAAGCAGGGATTGCAACTCCAGTCCTTCAGGGCTGGTTTCCATTCAAACTTGGTCCAGCACACCTGAATCAAATGGTTGAATTACCTCCCCACTATGCAATCAGTTTCTCCTTTTAATTATCTATAGTATGGAGCAACAAAGTGAAAACTGTACTATACCAGATCGGCGGTTCCATATAGGGGCCAGTGGCCCCTGTAGAACTGGCCCAGGCCTCTATTATGGTCCCTGTACTGAAAAGGCAATACTCTATACATTTCTACCGATATGATCTGGGACAGAAACTTTAACTAACTGGTCCCTTGGATATTGTTTCATTTATTACATTTGCAGTTTTAATTCAACAATGATTGGAAGGTGTTGCATTTCCAGCTTTAGTCATATTGAGTCATCTAGAGTGTTTTTAACTGAAACTGTTCTCCTTTCCTCTTAAAAATGGAACGATTCAGTGGAAAACTGCTGTGGCTGTGAGCCTACATTATGTTAACATGTTGCTGTGCTTTCCTACAGAACTTTTCTGTTATTCATCTCTCAACCTTTAGCTCCACCAATCATTTCAACTGAACTTTGGCTTCATTCCAACTGCAGGGAACTGCAGTTGGACCCACATCAGTCTTTTTCACTGCCGTGTAAACGACTGGATTCTTATCTTTTCATCACTCCAAAAATGCTGTTAGATGTGTTAAAGAAGTCAGATATTTTTTAAAATGTCCGCTGTCTGAACGGCCATGTGGCGTTTTATCCACCTTTCACTCTCCAGGCTCTAACTCTATGCCATCACACAGCAGTAGAAGGCAGCGCTCCAATAAAAGGTCGCTATTAACAGCTGTGCTGCTTTCTTTACTTGATTCAATCTAAAAGTTCCAGGATACAGGCCCTCCAGGACTGGAGTTGCCCACCCATGTTGGAAAGCATTCAGAAAAAGAAAAACAGCAACAGGTTTTCAAGGCTAAGCTGAGCCAAAAGGAACAAGGAAATAACAGCTTCATAGAAATGTAGTGGAGGAGAAAGTTATATAAATCCTGACCCCCTGGCCAAAAAAATCACTCAAGTAAAGTGACTATAGTCAAAAAAGTTCT